ATAGTTGTGCGTCGCAGGTCAGACTCAACTCGTAAAAAATGTGGTAAATTATTAAAAAAAGGTGAACCAGATATATCCACAGTATCAAAAATGGTATTAAATGATTGGCTACGTGGAAAAATACCTTATTTCACTCCACCACCTGAAAATGATGATAATGATAAAACCGAGGAAACTAATACTGAGGTAAGTTTTTGAATATACCATAATTTTATATTTTAAATCTTTTTATTTAACTTTTGATTATCAACTCTTTAGAAAGCTAAAAATGTTGAACAGATATTTCATAATATTCATGTTACAACACAGTTTTTACCTGATGATCTTAATAAAAGCGAGTAAGGTGAATTTTATTAAATAACATGATATAGTAATTATAGTACTGCCAAAAAAAAAAACCAATAATTGTACACTGGAAAATCCGAATCTGATAATGGCCCGAAGAAATAAACATTAAGTTTCCGTCAATTAACAAATTTCATTGATTTTTTCCGCCGAAATTGCATAGACTTGCATTCGCTTTGTCTTGTACATTTCAGGCAATTAGCACCAAGTGATTTTTTTACTTCCGAATTTAACGGATGTAATTCAAAAATGAGACATCGGTATATTTAAGTGAGACCGTCCAATTAACCGCCCACTAACCTAAAAAATTTTGCTATCTGGTCAAATTAAAATTTAAGATCAAATTCCAATCCTAACGTTGGTAGCGAAATTTTTTAGATCGGTGAAGGTAGGGTCCTACTTGTAAAAATATCGTACCTGATGGATCGAAAAATAGTATCACTAAGGAAAACCCGACAATTCTAAAGGTAGATGATTGTGAATTTCAGAATCTATTTTTAGAATTACTGTTTTTTCCTTGGCGATACCGTACTTGTATGTATGACAGACGTTTAATGTGAGTCAAATCATTTAATTATTATCTATCGATAAAAATACAGTATCAGTTATTAACGTTACTGTATACCATAGCTGGAAATAAAATGATAGATCAATCCAGACAAAATTATAATCCGGATATAATTTAAAATCCGGATGTAAATTTAATGTATAGATAGTATGATGATAATGTAGCGATTTAATATCGTAAATTTGGTCAATCAAAAGTTAGTAACCTTATCAAAACGTTTTATTTGTTGAACAAATTTCTTACTGTCGCCAAACTGTTGTCTAAGATTTCTAATATAATCGGATTTTACGATTATTTGATGCTTTACAATAGATATTACAATCAGATCCCTCCAAGTACACCCTGATCCAAATATATACTTGACCTCTATAAACACACTTCTTATTGTTCTCTAAATGCATGTTGTTGACGTATGGTCCCAAGTGATTGTACTTAGAGAGGTCTGACCGTCATATTGGGTCCCATTTATCTGTTATTGCTGAATCTATGGGGATGGTTGTATTTTTCAATGATGTACTTCGAATCATGTTCTTAAGCAAGTTAATAGTTTAGAACTTTTGGAAGAATTTGATAAAATGAAAAAAAGGAAGCTATTTAATAAACAGTACCATCATTCAAATTTTAGCGCTGTTAAAAGAACTACGAAATGTCATTTATCATGTTTTGTTTAATACTATTATCGTATATAATTAGATCTCCATAAATGCATTCTCTGTAAATTCACAAATTACAATATATATATATATTGATATATCCTCTTTAAATGCACACTAGGCTTTAATCACAGACTTAATAGAGCTCTTAATAAGTTGCCCTTCATAAATGGAAACCCCTTCCAAATACACGGTTTTGAAAATTTGTACAGTTCCAAGAAGAGTGTATTTTTGGAATTGATGTTTGAAATATACTATAAATTTATAAAAAATAATTTATATAGGTTGACATGTTTCCAAATAATATTAATGAAAGTGACAATGATATTAATGACGGGATAAATGGGTGGATTTTTGAGCTTTTAACTTGTAAATCTAATATTGCACCACATATCTGTCAATATTTACTGCAAATCGAGTCCGAAGATGTGTACCAAATTGTTGTGCCATATATTTTTACCGTCATATCTAGTCAAACCTTGCACGTTTATAGAGATATCAACTATTGATTATTTAAAATTTTTATATATCTCAAATATATTATTATCACTTTATAAAATAAAACTTTCAAGTTTTACTAATAATTCATAAAACAAAATGCATTTTAAAAATCGTAATTATAAATTTTACTAATAATTCATAAAAGAATGCATTATAACAATCGTAATCTACAGTATATTACAGTATTATAAAAATTTATATATTCAATCCGTCTCTTATCACGTAATTTTTGTAATACTACCCATGCTATAGATAATGGGATCTTCAATTTTGTGATTAGTTAAATTGAATGATGAGATTAAATAGAATTTGGGCCAATAATATATATCGTATCGAAAGATAAATTCAAATAACGAAAAAAAAACGCCAATTGAGAAAATTGTCTAATTTCATTGATTTATTATATGAAGGTGGAGCTATTGTCTAGAACAGTGTTGTACGTTTTGACTGTCCAAAGGCTTTTTTGGTACTGTCCAACGTCCAAGTGTCCAAGTGTCCACAAGTGT